GGCTTAGATCTGGAGTTGGTCCCTGGGCACTGTACTACACACTGTTCTGTTCTGATTATGTGACAGTAGACTTTAGTCTTTAATATAACTTCACACCATGTTTGAACCGTTGAGGTTTGAACCTACTTCAGTGGAGTTTTCCGATTCATTAAGTAATATGCTCTTTTACTTAAGCCAGTCCTTCTTTGTTTTCTCATTAAGATGTTCACAGCTACTTCATACTTCATGCCTCTTCAATAACATGAATAAAATATCTTTGAAGACTGGAATGAGATAATCTCAGCCTCCGGTGAAATGAAATAGATATTTCCTGGTTCTCTAACTCAGTGCAGTGCCAGAAGCACCATGATGTCCCCACCAAGTACCCCCAGACAATTTACTGTATGTACATTTGTATTTACTGGGTAACCGTTTTTTCAAATCATGTTAACTAACACTGCTCCCCGTATTTAATGGCAGTATTAACAGTTTTTGACATCTAGTGGCATTTGGTTTTCACTATTCTTAATTAATATGTCACAGAGGACAGCCTAGAATCAATCGATTCCATCGACTATCAACTCTCCTGAGACTTCATGGTAGAGAGATTGTTCTTTCCTTCTTTCTTTTGGTAAAAATCTATGTGTGTTTAGGTAGACACAGCTGATTATTTAATTAAATAAAACCTATACATGAAATAGAAATATTTAAAGGTAAAGTAAAAATCAATAAATAGTTTTATTTCCAAATCTTTGAAACATTTTTCCAAATACATATACAGATATAAAATAGAACCTGAACCTACTTTTTAAATGTGGCCATCACAGATCATTACATTAATGTGTTAAATTTGACAGGATATGACACCAAACTGAGGCGGGAGCTTCCACCCCTCCAGATCTGCCTCAAAGGAAGACACATGGATAAAATGGATGGATTTAAGCTTTTTATAAAAATAAAAAATCAATTTATAAATATCAATGAATATCTGCCTCTCTCTGCCTATATCTGACATCACTAGTGCACGTCACACTACAATTCCAGAGAAAATTCTAAATATGTATTCATACTATCTACTATTTAAAACTTTTATTATGCAGTAGGAATCTAAATATTATTAGGAAGAAATGCCCTCACATTATCATGTTAAAAGTGGGTGGTGTGGGGGATATTTCCGGCAGAAAGGTGTATGAGGCAACGACCATGTGTCCTACTTACAGTGGCCAAAACCATGTTCCATAAGTTAATGCTCTGTGGTAACCTCACATGTTTACTATTGCGTGTACCTGTGTCACCAACCTCATAACACAGACATGAGTTCACCTGCGGTTAATGAAGCCTGCAGCGATGTTGCTACTCGGTATCCATGGTAACACCGAGATGTGGCGACGTTGTAACATGCTGCCTTCCGGTACTGTCTTCAGTTGTGAAACTTTTATTTAAAAATCCCCCAAATAACAAAAACGCGTTTTCTGTGTCACTAAGGAGTACAGTGGCACTTTAAATGGTACACACAGAGCATGAATTCATGGTTGTAACAGGCAGGCTCCTACAAACATCAATCTTACGCATTTTTCCACTTAAGTCTGGTTATGCAGGGCAAAGTAAAGTCTGTACGTTCGTTAGTGAAAGAAACTACCAAAAGTGCTACTCTGTGTTATAACAGTGTGATAACCTGGCCTGTGTTAGTGTTTAAAATTATTATTATTTCCACGCAAAAGGTCTTAAAGAAGTGGAGTTTCCGTGGAACTTGAATGTCGCACCAGCTGTAGCGGAAAGTTCTCGCTGTCCGGAGACTCACAGCTGGACTCTGTGTGTGTGAGGAGTGGAGGCACCACCACCACTACACCAAGTTCACCATCGGTTATAACGAACAGAAACGGCACCTTATGCCTGCGTCGTTCATTTAAAGCGAAGAACCATTAGCGAGAGATAAACTCATAACCATAAAAGTTTTTTTTTTTGGTCCTAGAAAGTCTGTTCTCTTGTCAACACTCTGTGTCAATCATTTACACTCTGTTGTGTAAATAAACAGGCTATGTGTGATTGGGAAGAATCAATAGGGCAATGTGTCACCTGTAGCCTACACGTTGTATTTGTCCCTGTGCTCGAGGCTCGCGGCATCCCTGTGCTCCCGCGAGTGTGTGCTCGCGGCCGATGACAGTTTGATTAATCACCGCAAACCAGGTGATTCAGAGACTGAACGAGGCCAAACGTTAACGACGTTACTCTGTTGGCCCTCAGTGAACAGTTTCAGACAGAAGGTCAGGTAACGTTTCCTCCGGTCTGACCTCACCGCCCTGCCCGCCTCTCCCTCCGCCTCCAGCCGCACACACACCGACACAGCGCTCTGTCCCTCGCCACAGCTGCTCGAGAGAAACATGGGCTCCGCAGGACAGCTCTGCTCGGTGCTGCTGCTGCTCTTCCTCCTGGGGCTTCATCACTCCTCGGGTTTCTGGATCGTCAACGTCGTCTTCCCGCCAAACGCCAAACCCAGAGCACCAAGCAACAGCACTCCACCGCTCATTATTGGTAAGTGTTGGCATTGTTGTGGTCCATTTAGTCTTTTTATTTTATTTAAAAATAATCTTACATGATCCAGTATGTATTGAAGGGCCAGGGCTTGACTACCAGCTGGGCAAATCAGGCAACAGGGCCCCTGAAAGCTCCATTTTAATACCTTCAGTTACTTACTCCATATTCTATTATTTCATCTTTTTTAAGTAAAATTATGAAACCTGTGGCCAAGTGGTATTCTATCTATCTATCTATCTATCTATCTATCTATCTATCTGTCTATCTGTCTGTCTGTGTATTGATGTCTAGGCTATCAGTGTGGTTGTACTCTGTACATTTGACCCTGCTCTACAGTTTGTTTGCTGCTTATCGGTCATACTAAGGCATTTTAGGCTCAAAGGGCCAAAACCTGATTCAGTGGTCATGCTCTTCACTGGCCCTCCACGCTCCAGCTGTAATGGGTTTTTCACTGTCTGGCCTCTAAAGTCCTCCAATTTGGCCCGTAACCAACCCAACTCTCTCTTAATTTATGCCCCCAAGGTCCCTGTGGTAAAAGGGGTGAAAAAACTCTTGCATATTTAGTTCAGCCAAAAATGGGCCAGTAGTGTTTGCACATTATCACCTAACCTCTGCAGCTCGGCTTCAGGGAGTGAGGATCATAATGAAATTAACATTAGCCACAAAAGAAAGAGGTCAATACTGGCCCACCGACGCCTCATACAACTACATAATTATTGATTTTGAGGGAAGCCTTCTTTACTCCATCCACTCGTGAAAAGTGGACAACTATTCATGCCTTCGTCATCCTAGGGGAACAAAATTCAGCTCACAGAACTCTGCTGAGTAATGAAGTTAGTGTACCCAATGCAGACTGAAAATTAAGTAGATATGTACACCTGCATATACCCTGCACTACACCACTGGTCAAGACCTCCCTCAACTCACAATTCCCTCTTCACTTTCTTCATAATAATTCTTTATCTCATGTTTTTACATCAGTTTTAATAGTAACAGTTAGTCCACACTATCCCACTGATATTTGTCTGGATCTTCTACTTTCCATATTATTCTGCACAGCCTTAGAGATCGTCTTTGTCAGCAATAACAGCATTGGTTATAAAGTGTAGCTTGAAAAAGACCCAAAGATGGAAACTGTGACATAATGATGCTGGAACCCTAGAGGCTGCCAAAACCATGAATTATAAGGGATGTTTTGCCCATTTGTTGTTGGTACCACTCATCAGCAGGTGTCAAAGATTGTTACCATAGAAACAAGGCTCCTGGTTAAGAATTGGTGGGGGGTGGCGCCCCAGTAACTCACCTTATTGAGCTTGCGACCCATGTACTAAGGCTTAGTCCTTCCCACAGCGACCTTGGTTCAGTTCAGTAAAAACATCTGCACGTCCTTCTTTATCTTCTCTACACAAAGCAGCAGACTTTATTCCTACATTCGTGGGTCCTTCTTTGCAGTCTTCATGCAACTGATGCGTCATTCAAGACAGTAGGTTTCTTAGTTTATTTTAAGATTACACTGCGGGGCATTTTCTCTTCCCACCGCTTTATTACTCATTGTTTGCAGTCAAAGGTCATTGTCCAGGTCGGGATACACGCTGTCCACTGTAGAGGAGCTCCAAGTAGAGGACAGGTAACACAGAGTAGGGGTCGCTGGTCTACAGTACGTTTTGTTCAAGGCCAAAAAAGTAAAGTTGTGGAGTAAGGCTGTATTTGTCAATATGATGTGGAAAGTGTAAAAGGTGGGCACACATCCACATTCTGAAAAGTTTCCAAATCTCTAAACATTTAGAAAACCTGCTGTTTAGTCAAAATAAACATTTTACTGCACACTTTATTTTAAGGTTGGTAATGTCACACATTCTGCAAGATATAGTGGAAAAAATCTAAATAAATCTTAAACAAACGTTTTCTGACTATTTTCTGACCCAAGGTTAAGGTTTTAACCTCATTCCTTCCTAACTATGTGAAGCAATGTCCCTCCTACACAGGACACAGTGCAAATAAGACCTTACAAATATAGTATTTATAAAACAGGATTACACAATAATAGTTCTTAATTCATTTTATTTTATTACTTTGCATTTGCCAATATTGTTATGTTAACAATACATAAAATCACATCACCGTAATGTGATGCTCACAGTGAACAGAATTATAACCCAACTCTGCAGGTCCCCTCAGCACCGCAGAGGTTTTGGCTTCTTTCAGCTCATTGTTTTGGTTTCTGACAGCAAACTCTGATTTCCAGCTGCAGCAGGCAGTTTATATTAGCCAAAGAGGCCCGATAAACACACAGGACACTACCAGCCCCAAGCGGCAGATAGACAAAGTTAGTGAATAGCAGGTGAACATGGGGGAGCATTCAGTGGATAAAGAGCAGTTTTATATGTTTTTTACTTTTCTCAGGAGTTGGTGAAGATCAAGAGAGAGCTGAAAGGAGAGTGGATATCAAATGGTTAGAAACACCACTAATATAAATGCTAATGTTGCTCTGTGTCTGGCTGCTGGGTGTGTATGTATGCAAGCGTTAGCTAATGCGTTCACCATAACAGTATAACAGATTGTTGGTCTTCCCTCAAATGAAAATCTAGTAAAGGTCCAGTATGTAACATTTAGGAAGCTCTATTATATATCTATAAATGGAATATAATATTCATAGGTATGTTTTTATTAGTGTATAATCACCTGAACATAAGATTCGTCATCGTAGAATGAGTTTTAAACCAAACACTTGCTCTAGAGTGGGGTGTTTTTTCCCACATTTCACGGCCACCGTAGTTTCTCCTTCGCACTTGAAAGCGCGGAGCAACGTAGTTGCGATCTGCAACTACACATGCGGATGCCACTACATCCTGCACACTGGGCATTTCACACTGGGTTTCATATTTGGAACGTGCTTGAGTCGTCACCAGTTATGACCAGTGACCTACAGCAGCGGTTCCCAACCTTTTCACCTGGTGACCCCTTAAATAAGTCAGCTTACAACCCCTTATCACAACTTATATGTACAGTGAAAAGTAACACAGGAGGAAAAACTGTCCTGTGAATTTTAATGTATGGCAAAACAATGCATATTACTGCCTCACATTCCATTAAACATCCTGTGACCCCTCAGCTTCACTGCAAGGTTGGGAACCACTGACCTACTGTAAACTTAACCTGTCAGTGCTCACCTTGCTGTGTGATTCACTGATATGTGTGTGTGTGTGTCCAGTGCCAGGGAACTTGGGGAACCGTCTGGAAGCTAAGATAAACAAGCAGACGCTGGTCCACTGGATGTGCTACAAGAAAACTGAACACTGGTTCCCACTGTGGATTGACCTCAACATGTTCATGCCCATAGGTGTTGACTGCTGGATTGATAACATTAGGTAACACTGTCTGACTTTTAATGTCCTCTGTCCTGCCCTGTTTACATGTTCTCTTCCTGTTTGTGATCTCCTGTCAGATACTATTCGAGTCACAGTAGAGAATGTTTTTGCCCAATTATAATACCTAAATGTCTGCGTGCCCCAGACTTGTTTACAACAGGACTACTCGGCGGTCATCCAACTCACCAGGAGTGCAGGTGCGGGTGCCAGGATTTGGGCAGACGTATCCCATTGAGTTTCTTGACCATAACAAACTGGCGGGTGAGAGAAATGTACAGAAATGTCAAAAATGATATGTTTATGTCATATGTCATAGATATGTTTTCATTAGTGTATAATCTCCTGAAAATAAGAATGGTTAGGTATTTTCGTTACCTTAAAATGAGCCGTTTTTATCTATAGAGGGAGCGGGTCTTCTACGGAGGCTGCCATTTTGAACTGCCATGTTTCTACAGTAGCCCAGAACGGACAAACCAAACACTAACCCTCTCTTTCGTGCTTTACACAGGTTTTGCGTACACCCTAGTTTCTCTACATGCTTGAAACAAAAGGGTGAGGCGAGGGAGTTGTAGTCACCAAATGCACTGCTAGATGCCACAAAGTCCTACACAGTGGTCCACTCTGTAGCTCAGCTGCTTTGTAGCAAGGGTTGCTTTAGACTCTGACATCTGGTATTGATTTAGTCTGCTGCTGTTTTTTTGCAGGTTATTTCTACACTATGGTGCAACACTTGGTCAACGTGGGCTACATCCGAAATGAGACAGTCCGAGGAGCTCCATACGATTGGAGATTAGCTCCGAGTAAGCAGCAAAACTACACATGCACCCTCACATGCACTTTTTACACATTAAAAGGGCTTGGTACAGTCTAGCACACTGTCATATCACACACTTATGTGTGGAATTTTTATCTTGAGAGCATATGTAAATGGGAAGGTTTGGCACTGGATGTGTTGGCTTGGAAGTATAGAAAGTACATCAGCAGGCAAAATGACCAACTCAGCTTGTTCTTTTTAAGTTATAAGGTGTTGTGTAGTTGGTATTTGGGCTCTCTTTCCCCAATATGGTATTAATGATATGTAACAAAGTAAAAACATCATCTGAGAAAACAAAAATAGTGTGAGACTCATAAAGGTCTCTTTTATACAAACGTATTTAAAGCTCCACCAATCAATATTTTTTATATTAAAGCTGCATCAGTTAATTACTTTTTGCCACTTAATGACAACACAGCAAGCTGTAAACACAACACTGACACAGCTTGAGATAAGAAAGAAATACATAACATGTCTAGGTTGGTAACAAGGCATTCAGGTTTCAGGGTGTGATGAGAATAGAATGTGACAGGGAAAGAGAAACATTTCCCAGCAGTTGGCATTCATTTTGGAGTCGTGTTTCTGGACACCTGATGAATATAAGCCTAATATTCACTGCCTCACAGCTAAAGTCACAGCTAGTGTCTGTCTGTCTTTTGGTGCCGGAAAGGTGGTGGGTTTATCAGAAAATGGCTGCCTGTAAAGTTGTGGGTTGTAAAACCACAACGCTGAGCTGGAAGGGGAGCGAATATTAGACATTAAGACATTCTGGTGGCTACAAACACAAATAATACAAAATGTTGCAAATGTGGAGTTCCTCTGACCACATGTGGTCAAAAGAATTTAATACAGTTTTAAAGAACAAACCCAAACTCCATATCATTCTTTATATCACATTACACTCCCTCCTGTCATCCTCCCTCACACAGATGAGAACACAGAGTATTTCACAAAGCTGCAGGACCTGGTTGAGGAGATGTACGAGCAGTACCAGCAGCCTGTTTACCTGCTGGGACACAGCATGGGCGGCCACTATGTCCTCTACTTCCTCAACCACCGGCCCCAGGCCTGGAAGGACAAGTACATCAAGGGCTTCATTTCCCTGGGAGCTCCATGGGGGGGAGCTGTTAAACCACTTAGAGTCCTGGCGTCAGGTAAAGGCACTTAGAGTACAGTACACAGAGTATTTCATATTTGATCCATTTATTTTTGCTTTAACTTGCTGTTCACTGCAGGTGAAAATGACGGCATCCCAATGATTTCCAACATCAAGATCCGCGAGGAGCAGAGGATGACAACAACCAATCCCTGGATGGTGCCGTCTGAGGAAGTCTGGCCAAAGGACCACGTCTTTGTCTCCACACCAACTTTCAATTACACCAACAAGGACTACCAGCGCTTCTTCACAGACATCAATTATGAGGACGGCTGGTAACTAACAGCTTTAATGTTATTACACAGCCGTGATTAACAAAAGCTGTGCCCATTACCCACATCAGTTTTAGATTAGTACTATATTCCTGAATCAACCTAACCGACTCGGAAATGTTTTGGAATTTGGATTTGGAAATGTTTACGATGTGCAGAACAGTGACTATATAGTAGCGGGCAGCCACCACAGCGAAGGAAAAGCTTACAAGTGGAGCAATGACGGAGACTTTTAAAGATAAGGCTGCCAGGAGTTTCGATCCTATGGTCAGTTTTACCTCTTATGAAACAGGAAAACCTGGTCGATTATGTAAATTGCTGCTTTGGGAGCAGATAAGTGTGTAGTCTCTCCACCATGATAGACAGAACAGTGTTTCATTGTGGTAGCATCTGTGTCGACACATTGTGAGGAACAGCAGTTAATGATAGAAGCAACTTGAAATCATTTTGATGGCTAACATTTTTATTTGTAGAAAAACCTGACAGTCTATAGGTTTTTATTTTATACTACCACTGGGATCTGCCATCGTCAAAAATGTTCAACTCTGACATACAGTATACAGCATTAGCTTTAAACCTGCACTAACAGATTTTGGTCATTTGGGGGCAGCAGACTCAGGCTGTGAACATAACCGTAACATTATTATTATAATCTTTTAAGTTGATATGGTGAACATGTTAGCAAACAGTTTCCTATTTACACATCCAGCAGATAGAGGTGAAAGCCCAATATTCAGTCTGCTCTTTAGCTCTTGTATTTCGTCTCCAGCAGCTCCTGAGGGAAATATCAGACTCTTTAGCTCAGGGGTGCCCAAACTGATTTCCTTGGAGGGCCAAAACTGAAACTTAATGGTGGGCCGTGCTCACTGTGTCTGCCTAATGGTGCTGGGCAGGTAACGTACAGTCTTTTTAAAACGGTTTTCACTCAAAACAGCAAAAACACAGAGTGAACCAAAGTTGCAGGCTGCAAAAACCAAAACAATGTGCTTTAAGGGGAACTCTGAAACACTGATTTTACACATCAAAGTCTGTTAACAGGTCTTGCGGAGTACTAGTCCACATGTGAGAAAAGTTGTTTAAAACCTTTTGTGGGTCTAGAGGGAGCAATCTGATTGCCTTAAGCGATGCCATGTGAGTCAGTGTCGCTTGGCACTGCTAACTCCAAGCTGGAAAATGGAATAAAATCGGGGGCCTGATCCTCATCTCTGCTTGAGGCTACATTAACCTCTACTAGCACAACATACCCAAACACCAGAGCAAGGAGCTGATTGTTGGTTTTAGGAAAAAAGAGAGGCACATTCCTGTTTACATTAGTGGAGCTGAGGTGGAGCATGTGAATTGTTTTCGGTTCCTGAGAATTAACATCACAGAGAGCCTGGCATGGTCATCTCACATCTCCACTCTGGTACAGAAATCTCAGAAAAGACTGTATATGTGTTAAAGCTGTGTGATGCTAAATCAGTGGAGTAGTCTTTTAAGGTGACTATAGTTCCATAGAGCTGAGGGGAACCCAGAGTTCATCCCTACAGACGACCTTTTTCACAAGTAGTCATGTGATCCATTGTTAATATAAAAATATTGTAACTGCTTTAACGTTTTGGTCCTTATATCGCTCCATTTCACAACCCCCTTTATGCTCTTGTTGGTTCCAGGCACATGTTGGAAGACACCAAGAACCTCACCAGCGCTCTCCACCCACCTGGCGTTGAGGTGTGGTGTATGTATGGCGTGGGGCTTCCTACTCCAGTAACATACATTTACGACGAGGAGTTTCCCAACGCGGACCCGGTGGACTTTGTTTACGCCGACGGGGATGACACAGTGGACAGCTTTAGCATGAGTTTGTGCAAACGTTGGGCGGACCAGCAGGAGCAGCCCGTCCACATTACAGAGTACAGAGGGCTGACCCACCTGGACATAGTGTTCCATGAAAAGGTGCTCAATTTAATCCAGCATATCCTGGAGGGCAATTCAGACACACCCAGAGAGGTTGACGTTCGATCTGGAACTGAATAGCAGACGACAGCATTTAAGAGTTTATTAAACCAAAAACACACAGTGCTGGATTTTTACATAACCTATAGTCTGTTCTAGTGTCCCAAAAAAACACAACACATTTCACATGAAATAGCTTAAACATTTATTAAAAGTGCAACAGTTCCAAACCAGTCTGGACTTGCAAGTAATCTAACCCTGACCCCCACCCCCCCAGCCCATCACCATGACCCCCTTATCTAAACTACTTGCTGATGACTTGCAGAATGGGTTTGACTCTGACCTGTTTATTTCTGTTTGCAGAGTATTATGTTGTGTATCTCTCATACTTGATGTTGATCATGACAAGACTTAGTGGTTATCATGATACACATAATTGTCACAATAATTACAAAAATAGTAATAGGGAGTTATTTTCAAATTATGGTTTATTCAATGTTGTAGTCGGGCGTTTAATCATTCAGGCAACGTCAAATCCTGTGACATACATCTTTACAAAATACACAATGGTTTGTTTACTTTTGATGGATGATGAATTAATCATCACAATATATCACAGGCATATTTGTAATATTCTGGGTAGATAAGAGTGTGACTGTAATGAATAGTAGCCTATTTTATTGTGTGTGATGTCACTGTAATATTTCTATTCTATCTAAAGATTTATATATTTTTAGATGTGTGTATAAAATCCTTGACTGTTGACTGTTTGCTCAGGCTCATATACAGTAGTGTATTACATTAAACCAATGAAGTGAAATGATAGGGATATTTCATACTGCCAAATGTGTTTGAATGTTTCCACTTATAATAAAGTATCTGCTGCCACAAAAGCCACGCGTATCAATTGATTAGTTCAGATCTCATATATAGCGTCAGTGGTGTAGATCAATCCTCTCTCTCTACATCTGAGATCGATGACTTTTGACTCGACTGTTGAAGTTGTCGGGTGGATTGCTCTGTGATCTAGACCTCGTGATCGTCACCTTGATCACTGATCATCGTCAACGTTTATATTGCGGTAAATCACATCAGAGGACTTGAACAGCACACCGAAAGACCTCCTCTGCAGATCTACACACACACACACACACACCGAGGAGGCGACCATGAGTGTTGGGCTATGAGACACCAGGAGCCATGGCGGCTTGGCAACGGATAACCGCCTTCTCTTCGCTGCTCCGAGTCGGTTTGTTGTTGTTGTTGTTGTCTGCTCAGAGCAGCGGGAGACCGTTGGAGAAATGTGTCGGCAACAAGGCTTGTTCCTCGCGACCTCCCGTAGTCCTCGGTAAGAGTTTTCTCCGGTGTTTCTGGTCTAGTTTACCTGACTGTCTTCTGGCAAACAGCTCACTGTGAAACTTACTCATCAACAGCTAGCGATGGTCAAGACAGGCCAAACTCTATTCAAAATTAATTTAATTTTATCTCTCTTTGCTTGTCACAAATGCTGTATAAAGCTTTCAGTAAGATTCAACATTTTTCAAATGAGTATATGGCCAGTCTTATATTCGGCTAGAACATATTCGTCCAATTTGTATATACGTCGGTTAAATTTGTACTTTTGTAAATGTTTGGCCTGTCGCTCCTATTATCTTCTTCCACCAAAACAACCAGCTGGTCGTCGTAGAGAGCGGTCTGTACCAGGTTGTCTGTCTAATTTTATCAGAGGAAATGTGATTTTGACTGTTATATGTGCGCTGTATCGAAAGCACAGTCCCGCCGAATCGGAAAATGTGTTTAGTCATCGGTTGTAGAGGATATAATGTCGCTTCCCAGGAAGACGTCTTTACATTGCTATATTTGCGAACGGAGTTTGGCAGGAAACTGTCGAAGAAATGAAATCCCGTACGAAAAAAAACACTTATTAGCACACTAATGCTGACATATATTTGCGAGGTTTAGTAAACATTTAAACGTTGTGTTCAGTGAGTGTGTGTGTGTTGTTTACAGTCAGCTTTCCTCTGATCATATGACTGAGTTGGAAAACAATCTGACTCTCCAGCATTGCAGCCAATTAAGTGCTCAGGATACCGAGGAAGTCTAATGGCAGACTCTCTTTAATCTCACAGTAACTGTGTAACTTTAATGTAAATTTCTATTCATAATCCAAGTTAAAAGCTAACACACTGCCATTCTCCCTCCACTCATTGAAGGGGTCTTGGGTTTAGAGGAATCTTATCTGTGTTTGGCCAAGTTACAACCACAGCCTCAGTCTGTGCCTATGCATGTGTGATAAGAGTCTGTGTAACTGCTTGACCCACAGTGACCTCCTGCTGTTTGCTTGTTCTTGCAGTTGAACAGTAGAATATTACAGTTTTAGAGAAAAGCCAGTGTTGGGCTGCTGTAACTTTGTGGTACACTGACAGTGAGGCAACCGGAAGGGCCTGTTCGACCATAAAGTGCTGAACTAATAGCTGAAAAAGGCTAAACACAGTCCATCCAGTCATAGCGGGATAAAGGTAATATTTATTCACTCCCCCTCTAGTCAAAAATCAGTTTTTCTTGCATTTTCATAGATTCTGGATTTTTTTATGACGTTAAAGGAGTAGAGCAGATTTAATGCAGAAATTATACTTTTTTTTGTGAAAAACACACACATTATTGTTTCAAGCGGACTATTTGTATTCAGGCTTTGTGTCTTAATACATTTCTGGAAGAGATCTTTAAGCTGTGAGTGTTACTACCCATATGGTAGTAGTGGTGAATATTCATCATTGTCTATAGAAAAAAACCAAACTTAAAAAGTACTTTAAATAAAGTTCCCACTTGGATTTCAACAGATATTTACCCATCTTTAAGTATAATATTTAAATTTCAAAGTCTTTGAAAAAGAACAAAACAACCCAGCGATGCTCAGAATTTCCACTGACGTCTGTCTTTTTAAAATGTTTTAAAAGTGTTTAGAACTGTAAAGTATGCATTGGCTTCATGGCATCCATCGTGAGAGTTGGCCTCATACTATATACTATACGTGGCCTTGGACTGTTGTGCAATGTTTTGTGTGTGTTGTTTGATGATACAGAGGAGGAGGAATAGACCAAGGGCAAGTAAGTAGTTCCTGTCCGGTCTCATGTCAAGTTGAAATATTGATAACTGACAAATATACATACATTAGAAACATGTGTCACAGTATGGAAGAAGGGTAAGAATGAGATAATCACTAATGAATATGCACATGAACAGTAATAATTAAACCTTCAGTGTCATCCGGACAGTCTTGCTGATATGTGCCGATATGTGACTCATTCCTAATGTTACCTGTTGCAGTTCCAGGGGATCTGGGAAACCAGTTGGAGGCGAAGCTGGATAAACCTAGTGTGGTTCACTACATCTGCTATAAGAAGACTGAGTCCTTCTTCACTCTGTGGCTGAACCTGGAGCTGCTCGTCCCTGTAGCCATAGACTGTTGGATAGACAACATAAGGTATGACGTGGCTTTTTCTGTTTGCATTCAGACATCAATAAAGTACTGTTTGTCTGATGAATTTGTCCGACTCACCAAATGTATGTACGAGGTTTGCTGACGGCCCATTTTGAACATCATCCTGTGATGATTAGTGTGGCATGTTTCTGTTGTGAAAGTGATTACTAGTTTGCCGTTGCTGTTCTTATGTAGAAGGCTTGATTTTTTTGTGTGAAAACATTTCTGTGGTGCAAATTCCTGGAAGTGCTGTCATAGGATAAGGGAGTAGATAGATGGGTTCGACAGCCTGTTTGACTTTCTGCTAACAGTTATCACCCAGCACTGGATAAACTGACCTTTGAACCCTCCATTTATCAACGAGGTATGGAAGGAAACAAAGGATGAGATAGCATTCCTTTTAATGTTTCCATCAGCACTCAACTCAACACCACTCACATGTTAATTATTCATTTAGACATGAGGACTGTGAGCTGCTGTATCTCTAAATGAGAGCTCTGCCGTGATGCAATTAAATAGAGAGCCATTTTGCAATTATGTTGAATAATTGCTCTCTTCCCTGTTCTTAAGATGTGGCTTCAGTAATCCAGACTTCCTCTGCAGTTAGAGGATTGATTAGTTCATCTTGGACTAAATTTATCTGGACTGACAGTTGGCTCTTATTTTGAAAGGAACGCAACATGAGTAGAGAGTGGAAACCATGATCAACACTCATACGACTGGCTGCTCATATGATTGGACTTGCGTGACTGACTGTCATGGCAATGTGGCCACAAACAGAACATTTTTTATTGCAGATGCACAATAGTTCATTTAAGGCTCAGGAACCGCCTGAAACCAGAGATTATTTTGTATTCCCACTTTTCAGCAAAGTCAGTTCAGTCAACAATCTGACTTAAATAAGTTAACTCATAATCATCCATAATTTATAAACTATCTCTGACTGAAAACTGATCAATGCGAATTTACAATGTAAGAACAACATTTAAAGCTGCAGTAGGTAGTTCTTTATAAAAATAACTTTTTGT